GGTTATTTAATTTTTAAATTATTAAATTTTTTGTTACTCTCTACATACATGATTAACATTTTTCTTAATATTTATAGATATAGCTTAAACTATTTACATAGAGTTTGCATTTAAATTTGGATGGTAAGACGATATAATTTTTGTAATAAGATAATTAAACTACGTTTTTGTATTCCAAGTTACAACTGTGTGTAAATGACCATTATATTTTATATCTAGAAAATTTTTAGATGCAATAATATTCTTTTTTTACATATTTTTAATTTGTTTATTACATGCAGAACTTCAATTTTATTTTTTTTAAACATATTATAATAAACAACATTTTTTCGCTGCTTAGCAATTTTTATCATTATTCTCAAGGAGAGAGAGAATAATCTGTATTTCCAATGTATTATATTTAATGGATTAAAAGTTTTTTTTTTTTACTAGATGACTTAAACAACGCAATCTTCTAGCTTCTAAAATTTAATGAAAATATATTTGAAAAAAAATCTATTGTAAACATTTTTGTTATATATCGAAAAGAATGATTTTACATCGGCAACTATTGGTCAAACTTGTCATTTTCCACGTGTTAAAATTTTTTTTATGTATTATATATGATATATATATTGATATGATTTTTTTTCTTATTTTTTTACAAATTATTGTTATGGCAAGTCGTTAAAGATATTAAAAAAAATCTAAGTTAGTGTATACTTATATCTAAGATATTAGGTGTACTAAGATGGTAAAAAAAAAAAGTATATTATATTATTATTAAAAATATATATGCTTATTTTTATTGTAAAATAAAGCCATTTATTAGTATTGTATTTCAATTAAAAACCGATTATGATAAATGTATCATAAATGTTAAATACTATTTCTTTTTTATGCGACTTTATAAAAGAGATCTTTTTCGTTATATTTATATATATATTTTGTATTTAATGTTTAGCTAACTATGTGTCTACCATTGAAGCAAGTAAGATCAAATATATTTTTGTTGGGAAATTTGTTATAGTTTTTTGTATTGTGTAATGTTGTTCTGTTAAGAGAGAGTATTAGTCTTTATTTATATATTATTTGAGTAGGTAGCAATATTAATAGCAAAATATTCACAATTTCAGTTTCTATCATTAAATTTATAATTAGATGATAACATGTTGAATGTAGTAACTGATGGACAAATGAAAAGGAGTAGAAACAATAATATAGAAAAGCAAGAGTAAGAAACGTTAATTACTTAATATATGACAAGAATGACAACGGTTCTCACATAAACATTTGATGGAATCTGTGCATGTGCATAGATTTGATATGAAAATATGTAAATATGAGATTTACAACCACAATTATTAAATTAATATGATGTGTGTTATTAATGATGTTGATATTATATAACTTATTGTTAGTATTTTAATTTGCTTTGAAGACTGATACTACTTTTTAAAAGATGGATGGATATATGTATGTACACACATAAATATATATATATATATATACACTATCATCACAATATTTATGTGGGTACACGCGCGCGTTTGTATTATTATTAAATTATTCGCGTTTGTATTTAAATTTTATTTTCAGTTTACATATTTAAAAATTGATTATTTTTTAGAAAGTGAAAATTTCAAACTTATTTCCTACAAAAAATATGTAATATTTTTCGACTGTCATTCAAATCCTCAATTTTTCTAGCTATTATATCACGGTGCAAAACAGATTTTCTTCATTTGTGACCTCTGATTACGTAAAAAACGCAGCAGAGCTTTCGAAATCACTTGTGCAACGATTATTTGTCGGCTTATCAAGTGCGTTTCTATGCAAAGACAAGAAAATGCAGTTGTTGCATAATATATAGGAACAATTTATTTCACGGCTCGATCATTTGTGAGGAGAGTTAGTGTGATAAATTTATAATGTTATTCGTAAATCTTTTTTATCATATAATGTATGTTAGAGATTATTATTAATATATATAGTAATGCATGAGAAAAATAAATATGCAACATAAGTCATACATCGAACATTTGCAGTGCTCAAGTAATTTTCATGTATTTATATACATGACATATTATAAGATAGAGAATTGTCAGGTATGTTGACGAATCTCAAATTTGAGATGTCATTAATATGATAAAGCATCATCATCTATTAAATATTTGAGAAATCATGCTTGAGAAAATCATTAAGGAAAAATTAAAGATGAAATCTTATTATTGAATGTACTTAACACGGACGTTCTATTTGTAATTACATATAATTTGATTCGTGATAGTTGGTATTCACTACATTATGTTAACAGATAGTAATCGATTTAAACAATATTATTTGTCACATTTATATGAACGTAATATTTAATTGGTAGTGTAGTGCTTTTTGTGTTAGAAATCAGAAATTTGTCACTGTAGATAATATATGACAATATTTTTAGAAAAAAGAATATATTCTTAATGTGTACAGTGTGTTTATTAGCACAGAAACAAAACGTGTTTATTTAATAATAATAATAACATGTTTCAGCTACGTATATACATCACATCAGTAAATGTCAGCATTGCTCAATTATTGATGAGATATCTAGCAGGTGACTAAAGATATATTCACACACTACAAATGTGTTACAAGTAAAATAGAATTTTGTAATGTTTTCGTGATTAGGAACAACATTTGATTCGAAGTTTTAATATTGAAAATGTTCTCTAGAAGCTCTTTGACACAGATTTTATATATATTTTTATTAAATCTCAAGTTCAAACTTTAAGTCAAACTATAAATTATTATATAATAATTATTTTAATTTTTACGGGCCAGAATTTTGTGAATATTATTACAGATTACAATTCAATCCCTCGCCTTTATCGTAAAAGTAAATTTGTGCTTGTCCTAATTTTATCAGCGCCTAGTACTGTCATCTTACTGATGTAATGCATACATACATTGTTTAAGATTATCTCTAACTTTTCATTTATGCTTTAAAGCAAGTTAAACGGGAATTATATTATCAGACAAATGGTACAATTGTTCTCACAGAGTTATTTTATAAAACTAGTATCCAATTATCTTCCAGCAGTATTTATATACTCGCATGCTTAGTAAATGTAAATGTTAGTACATATATTATCAATGTAGATGTGTTGAATCTCGTTTTGCTTATTTTATACGCGAATATATAGATAAGATTTATAATTTGACCATTGCACACAGATATGAAATATGTACACTAACTCATCAGCTATATGTATAAGCTGATGTTGTATGCATATTCTTTATCGTAAATTATTTTTTCAGAGATTTCTAGTATCGTCGAGAATCAATATTTGTGCTCTCACTTGCTACTCTTTTCTCGAGAAAACTGTAGATATTTTCCACAGCAAGAATTATAAGTCATTCGTAAAGGTGTCAGCGATTTTAATTGTATCTCTTTCTGTTTATATAAATCATATTAGATAAATCGTATGATAACAATGGTACATACCATATTTCTTGAGTTTGAATCTTTCTTTATGATATCTCTCTTTATCGATAACGATTCAATAATGCAAACAATACTGAAATTTTGAAATACTCTATATACACTTAGAAAATTTATTTAACATTATAAATAATTGTTTAAAAAAACGAGATAAGTTTGACAAATATATAATATTCATTTGTATAAGATACATTACGATATTTCGTTGACTAGCGATATCCTAAATACAAAGGCCTACGTTTCTACGAGCATCTTAGGCATTTTGTTAGCTCTTATAGGCAGACAGATTTATTCGTGTAAAAGAAAAAAATTATAGATATATAATTATTAGCCTGTCTGCACTCTTCGATATAAAATTTTCACGAGCTTGGGAAGTGACAAGTGACCATATGTTTGCGATAGCTTTCAATTTGGATTTGAATTGCGCTTGTTCTTAGGCATGTTTCACGCGTTTACAGATCACGGCAGATCATATAACAGCACGATAATAAGGGATTAGTCTACACCACTATTAGTGGACACTTACGGAACACGAACGCGAAAATTACATAATGAAATTTTTTTAAATATCATTTTTTAGAATTAGGTCCAATATTTTATATAGATATATATATTATTAGACCCAATTCTAAAAAAAAAATTGTATTTAAAAAAAAAAATATATATATATATATGTATATGTATGTAACTATATATATGTATATGTATATGATATATGACATGTATATGTATGTATGTAAAAAATCCCTCTTTACCTGCAAACTGATTGATTATGCAAAGCACAACATCTTAAATTCATCAGAGTCAACGAGAATCCGCGATGGAATCCGAGCCAGTAGTTACAAGGATAGCAGATTCAACTCAACAAGTGTCTCTTCCGAATGAGAGTCAGACCGGAAACAATAGCGATAAATCGAGTGGGGAGGAATCTACGAACGAACACAATAAAACGGGAAACGACGACGAGTGTCAAAAAATTCAAGGTTGGAAGGGATTTAGTCTCAAGAGACAACTGAGCAAGGTTGATCTGAAGATCAAAAATACTTTTACACCATCTTTGGTGTCTTCTCAGAATGGGGTACTTGTATGCTTTTTAATACGTGCTTTAATTATTCTTTTCTTAACTATTCTTCTCTTTCTTTATGTGATTAACAAAAGTCACAGTAATTTTAAGTTCTTTTTGTGTTTCCACTGCTACCAGTTAATATTTTCGCGAAATATTTAAATTGTATGGCATTTTAAATATACATACATAAATTAGCTTGTAGCGCAGCCATTGCATTCATAAATCTCTGCGTCATTTATATGTACATATATGCATATATGTTCTTATAAGTGCAATACAACATAAAAGCAATGACTTTTTCTTCTCTTTAATTCGTAATTTTATAAAGGAAACATCAAAATTCTCTTACATTATATGAAAAATTATATGATTATAAAAAAAATATCTTTTGTGAGTGGAAAAAAGTTTATTTTGTGCGCTTATACCGGAAATTGCTTTTTGTAATGGATAACAGCATTATCCTTTTGCTTATCTTCTCGAATCTAATGTCGTTTTACGTTTACAATGTTCGTCTTTATGTTTCCGAAAGAGCTCGTCATCGGGGCTCATGCAAGTACCCCAATGTCAGCAGACAAGCGGCGATACTGGCAGTCAAAAGTCTTCCACATTTTACTGCAATATCAACGAAACGGCCAGCACGAGTCGTTCGCTGTCACCGGTCGAAAGTGTCGACTCTGAATCCTCTTTGTCACCGGAGAATCAGTCTCCGGGACACGAGAGTCCTCAGATCGACGACAGGAAGGGAGAAATGCAAGAGGCTAGAAGCCCTACGAACGAAAACGAGAACGAGAAAATGATAATAAACGACGGCAATATCGGTGTAAAAACCGAAGTAGTGAGACCGATGAATCTATCTTTGCCTGAAAACGAGCTAAAACCGCCGCGATTGAAACGTATCGCCAAGATCAAGCAGGTAAAGAGAGAAAGCCGCTTACTCTCGGTGCCGAATCTGAAATTTTCCAAGAACGAGACGACCGTTTGTGACCTAAGATGCGAAGAGAACGCTACCTCCGAATCATTCACCTGCAATCTTATAAGAAGATTCAGTAAGTGTTTATATCTAACGTAGAAAAGCGTTTTGTGTCGTCCGTGTGTCCTTAGAGATATATTACTTCGTTAGATTTTCACGTTAAATGTGAATGTGTGCGTGTAATTAATCTAACGATCGAAATCTTCCTCGATCGGGAAACGTGCGATTAATAATGAAATTGCATTTGTATTTGTGATTGAGAACTGGTGGGTGTAGACTAACCATAGAGAGAGCTCGGCTGGTCCTGGACGTGCTTCTGCCTCTTTTTTTTTTTTTAATACAAAGCCTAGGATGCTCTTAGATGCGTTCATGATTATTTCCAGAGGAAACGTTAACACAACTCATATTAATTACATCTTTGCCAAGATTGGGTAATCTGTAATAAATTATAAACTGAAGTATCATTCAACTATCGATATTTGATTATGCATATTTTAGACTTAATAAACTTTATATTCATTTAATTTTAAAACAGAGTAAATATATTAAACTTCCAATAATAGAGTAAATATATTTTCTCTTTTTTTCTCTCTACATTTCAATTGGGAATTTATTATTATCAATTTGTATATTATTGTGGAGAAAAATAAATATTTCAATATTTTAAATATTTCAATATAATCCTTATATAATTTCGCGAGAAAAGTATGACAAGTTTCATTTTCTTACCCAATATTGGCTTTCATTATAACATGTCATCATCAAAGGTTTATGTGAAACAGTTAATATTAATATTTAAGTTAATCAATTAATATTTAAATAACAATAATAGCTTCTAATACACATGTACTCTTGCAAGAAAATCGTTGCGATAATTCTTAATAGCTCTAAACATTACTAACGATATATGTCTTATACAAACAGACGAATATTAAATACTAACAGCTTTCAAATTTTTGAATACATAATAGATCACATAAATCTGATAAATATTCACGTATACATAAATCTGAATAAAATAGCTCGCAAATTTCTAGTTATCCATTATAAGTATTCTTTACTTATTGCATGTCGAATACAAATGCATATTGATGAAATAGCAGTGCTATTATAATGCAATCTAAATATTATTGATAGACATTTCTATATGTCATTAAAAAGGAAATGGACGGTAGCAATTTATCTTGTGTTTATTATGTTTCTAAAGAGCATGTTTTGCATATATTTTAATACGCGTAAAAAACTTATATATAAAGAAAGTTATTATATATTTCTATATATTTTTAATTATATTTATTTAAATTCTAACACATAATTTCTTCCTAGTTTTCAATAATTAAATACGATAGAAATAAATAACTTAGCTCTTGTTTTGCAAGAACGTGAGAGCAGAAGCTTGGAAGATACCATCGATTTTAATTAATACGCAAAGTAATTGATTAACGTATATTTTTCTTGTAAAATAAATATATATAGTTATGTGGAATAAGAGAGACACTGTGCTGTGAAATTTGGTCACGCAAGAGAGAGATGTAGAGTCTAATATAATGGTCAGTCAATAAATTCATCGATAATTATTATTAGGCTTGTCCGAAGTGTGTCGACGTTTCTTCGGTTATGAAGAAAAGGCCTTATAATTAATAGAGAAGAGTGCGGACAATATTCCCTGCTAGAGAAAATAATATACAACGCAATGTACGCTGAAAATGATGATTCTTTAAAATGCATTCCTGATTTTGATCAGAAAGTGCCTCTCTATGCGTAAGTCATAAATTTTCAAATTTAAATAATACAATCAGTGCTACGATTTGGTATAACATTGCAAGTTCTTACTGTGTGTGAAAACAATACTACAGGCATAATAATAATATAAAATTGTCGAGACAGGCTACGAAGTATAAATTATGCCGTAAAATACGCAAATAATTTGCGTATTTGCATTTGTCGAATGTAAATATCTCTGCGCGGATATATTCAATTTATATTCACAAATGTAATGTTTCTGATACTATTTTCAGAAAAATACATTTTAAAGAATATCAACGCTTCACTAAACTGCATCGATTGCCTTTTCATAAAGCATTATCTTGCCGAACCGTCCTTAGTATGCAATTTATTCGCGTTGATGATTTCGATAGGTCAATAGATCGGGATTCACCGTACATATTTAAGATTTTTCTAGTCATTCCCACCCCTAGGTTACCAATATACCTGGAATGCGTAGTAGATATTTGGAAAGTGCATCGCCTCCCGTTTGGCCTTGATATCCATTTGTGTCAACTTCGTTTCCAAGTTTTATGGCTACATTTATTCCTTATAAACATTGTTCTTATGCTCGTAAAATGTGGGAAATACCCCCTCCTACTGCGGGAATATCAACAGGAAATAACACTACTCCGTTCGTACTGATGCCAAGTCCTCTATCTACACTTTACACTGTACAATACGAATTTGAAGAAATTCTACTTTAACACTTTTTCAGGTTCAAATCAATTTTGCGGTCTTCCCCGACAGCAAGCTCGATTCAGGTAAAAATAAGGTTTTTCATATTTTGGCAGTTGTCTTATCACCGAGAGAAAAGTACACACCTTGACAGCAAGTTCTCAGTCAAGATGTATGATATTACACATTACAAATTAATAGGCAGTGTTCTTATCATCCTATGTAGCTTGATCACAATAATCCAAAAATCAGATTCTATTCGTAGACTATTGACATATCTCTCGAATACGATTGACATCGACTTCCACTTGTCTTCAAGTCTACATGTAGAAAAATTATGATTTTTCTCTTCTTACTTTCCAACATACGAGTATATTATCCACAGACACCTTTCTCTCGGTACAATATTGCTTTCAAAGCTTTTGGAAATTTTTTCGATGGTTTGCACGCAAATAGCAATAGTAATAATAATAACAACACTGATGATCGTGGCATCATCAATGACAACAAGACAAAGTCATTTTCTTTTATTGATTAAATTAAGGCGTGAATTATATGTAATGTGCGTTATATAAACGCTGCTGACAGGACATTTTATGAGTCCAACTCTTTCAAATTTCTATCTCGACATTGACTGACTACTATAGAGGACTCTGCATAATATTCTGATATTCCACATAGCGAGAAACAAGATGTGCATACACGAGCAAGCGTTTATCATTTTTTCTCTCAACGAGATCTTCCATAATGTCATCCCCAGTGCAGACAACAACAATGACAACAAATATTATTTCACACCCAAATTCGCTCGACAAATCATCTTTTGAATAGTCGAGGCAAAGCCCAATCGAATAAATCGAAGTGTTTTCGATCTGTCTTTATCGAGGGATGTCAGTCGTTTCGTACCGGCGCGATAAAACATACAGTCATGTGATGGCAAAGAAAAAGCTTAATCTTCTGATTTTCCTAATGAACATACACGTCAGATTTACACAAACATCTATTCTGACGTAAACTTTCATCATGCTATTTCGATATGATTGATTCTGAAGAATCATTGTTTTCTAAGTAGGATCTTCTCGAGATGAAGATTTATCACATTGTTATCGGAACAACATGAGAAGAAGGCTTCTGATATGTTATCATGAATTTTAACATACGATAAAATTCTACTGAAAAAACAAAAAAGTTTCTTTATTGAAACGCTTTCGTATATATGTGTCATTTAATAGAGTGCAATTATTGTTTGTGAATATTATGAGACAATTCCCCAAAAAAATAATTGTTGACCATTTCTTTTTCCGCCAGCGCTATTCAACTTCATTATTATATTTAATGGATTTTTCGATTTTAGGGTGAGAAATCATATGTATATGTAACTCTACATAAGAAGAATTTATAAAGCATGTTTAGATAATTAAAATTTTTCCGTAATATATTTTGCCTCATTATATACAGTATATCAAAGTAAATTAATGATACTTTTGTGAAACTTAACATTTTAAAATATACATTGTTATAAGTTATAATACACACACACACATGTCTCTCTCTGCTTTTCGTTTAATATTTTGATATTTTTCATATTTTTATTACGCTTGTATAATGAGTATTTTAGTTTTATATTTCCGTTCTTAATTAATCAATATTGTAATAAAAAAGAAGTTTCTATAAAAAGACGCGAATAAACGATAAAATAGAACGCGTAAGATACGTAGGTAACACCATACGCTTATATAATAATCCGCTAACTGTGAAAATACTGTATAAATCCACGCAACTGTGATAATTTATTTTTCATACCTTTCTGTTTTCTCGTTTTGATGGAAGCTTGATAAAAGTCCGCGCTCATTTCCATAGAAAAATTCCAATCCGCATATATAAATTTGCTTTATAAACGAAAGCAACGACCAAGTCGTTTACTTCCTCCACATTTGACTTGTCACTGATTTGTAGATGAACGGGATGTGCGTATTGCCGGTGACAGGAAGAAGTACAGTGGGTGTTGGTGGTGAGAGAGGTGACAATGGTGATAATAGTGATGGTTGTAGCACCGGCGGCGGCGGCGGCGGTGGCAGTAACGGCGCCTACAATAGTGACGGTGGTGGAGGTTCTAATGCGGGTGCTTGCGTAACTCGCTCGGGTACTACTCGTAATGCCGTCGCCGGCGCGATTAGCGGTACCGACGAGGAAATTAATATGCAAGCGTCTCGCAAGGGTGTCACGTTAGATCAACGTCATCCGCGCGCCCAGGGTATAAGGAAGCTCCAGAAGTGTCTGAGCACCGCTACCACTCACTTCGAGGTGGATTCCGCCTCGGGCGCTACCGCCGCTTTTCCGACAGTCTCGCTATTCTACGCTCAGCGTAGCACGGAGATGAGAAGTTCCTCAGCCGTCCCTCAAGCGTCTTTGAACTACCAGAATATCCTCACCAACACCAGACAGTATAGCAGCTTTGGTAGTATTGTGTCGACAGCTAATTGTAATTTTAAATATTTATGTATGGACTACGTAGACCACCGATATATTATTCTCTTTCTCTCTGTGACACCGAATGGAAAAGCTACTCTTCTCTCATCGCTTGACTTTTAGTTTGATTTTCTTGTGAATAGAACGATTCTTCTCGGATCAAATCTTTTAAGCGTGGAAAGCGCTGGATCTTTCGCGCGACGTTGCTCTACCTCATATTAAATTTTATATATATCTCAGAAAATTGATTAATATCATTATAATTGATTAATTATATATATAGAAAAATATACATATATTTCTATACATTAATAATTAATTGTTTGATATTATATTATATACATATCTATTTTTCCAACGCAATATTTATATTCCTCTCGCTCTTACTCTATAAAATTAATTTTTTCCCGGATTGATTTTAAAAGTTATATTAAACAGCAATCTTTTTTTCTTTGTTTATAATTTGTAAAATCATAAGCAACGTTGTTTCCGAGATCCTTGCAGCACGTACGTTTTTCTATTGTCTAGAATCAATAGATACTGTCTGGTCTTTACTGATCTGATTGTGAAAGTGACTTCGATAGTGACTTCTCTCTCACACTACGATGCATCTCTTTCTTTCTGACTTGTATATGCTCTTTAGTGGATCTTTTCTAAATAAACACAAAAATGGCACATCCATCTGGACTGCGTGATCTCTAGTTGTCACACTGCACCCTCGAAAAGAGATACTCTTTTCTACTCTTTTCCTTTTCGCCTATGTGGCAAGCTTTTGATTTCTGCTTCTTTTATGTGATCTATAACGTTGCATCTCAAATAGCTACTTCTCAGCTCGATGCACAATCTAAGACGCACCTTGTGTGAATATACCGATAATAAGACGGACTTTACAAACTAAATGTGCAAAAATGTCGGAGGGATCAAATATTACATGTCAACATCTCATAGACTTGAACAAAAAAATACACATCTTTATATCTTTAAAGCTCATCGTTTTCTCTCCGCATTTGTAAAACAATTTATCTGTTGCATATTAACGTAATCTTTTATCGTGTTGTTATATAAATGTTATATAATTGTAACGATTTTTTTAAAAAAAGCGATTTGTTTGCACAATAGCATCACGTGTTAACTTTTATCTATTTATTAAAAGTGTCATATGTGCAAAACCTGAAACGTAAGTTTTTTTTTTTTATAAATAGACTCGATTTATTCGTATCGCTATATCCCAAATATTTTATTTGAAACGCGTACATTTCTAAAAAAAATATATAGGAAAGAATAAATTTACGAAACAATATTCAGACAATACAACTATACTCATTATACATGTGCAAAACAACTATTACATCTATTTCAATTTTATATTACATGGCAATGGCATTAAGTAATATATTGTGCTGAAAAAATTATGTTCAGAAAACGATATATTGTTTAACATTCAATTGTGTATTTCGATTGTTACTTTTGCAAAACTGCTTATGGTTGAAAATATATATAAAGCATCTTACAAATTTTATCTTTAAATTATACCAAGCTTATACGAAACGCATTGGTTTGGCCTGATTTATGTTTGAATTACGGAGAACTTGATCGATTTTTATGTTGTGATGATATTTTCGTCACCACATAACCCGGAGATCACTCGAATACTTTACGCGTGCATGCAAGAGTAATTCTTCGTCGTGCCGCTCGTCTATTTAGCTTACTTATATGAGATTAACTGACATGAGTCTGCGAACGCGAAAATATTCTACGCAAACTGAACACGATAGTACATATGCGTGTGTGCGTACGTGTGAACCTGTGTGCGTCTTTGTATGTATGTGTTTGTGTAAATTTACAATTGACTTGATATATTCATAAATCCTGATAAGTCTAAAGTCTGCGAAGGGTAATTAATATATGAACTGTGCAGTCGAGAGACACTAAGCGTGATAGTTGTTGTTGTTGCTGTCGCTGTTATTATTATTATTATTGTCATCGTCATCGTCGTCGTTGTCATACTGAGCATTTCTCATCATCACGATCATTATTATTACTGTCCTCTTGAAGCTGCGCTCTGTCTCTAATATATAAATGTTCTAATTCCGCTAGTTACACTTTGCGATATATGATACACTACGTAAAGATGATGTAAACGTGTCGAAAATAATTTCAATAGTTATTGTGCATGCTTCTTAGTAGTTAAAAAAATGGAACATTTTTATTCTATAAATAATCGATAATTTTCTTTTGGGATCGCTGGTCGGGTAGACAAATTCGACGGTTCCTTCCAACGATCAAGGAGCTCGAGTATGTCGTCCCTCGAAAATATCACCACAGAAACCATAAGCTGCCTTACATTTGCGGATTCTTATACGAAAAAAAATGGTAAGTAAACCAGTTTAATGATTTTCATATAGCCAGAGTTTAATTTTTATAATATTCGTGAACCATTTTTATTTTACGCATGTCTGTGTTGCATATATTATGTATGTTGTATATTACAATTTTCTTTATATTAATGCCGTTAACTCGATGAATAATTATTATTTATTCTCGCTCTCATCGACGAGACATCGCGTAAAGTTATTTAAGAATACTAAAGGATTAATTATATTAGAACCTCTCGTTTTTACGATGCTAGTAAATTATTTGCATAATTTAACGCGGAGTAAATTATTTACAATAATTTAACGCGGAAAAAATTTGTAATAATTTTATTTTATTTTTTTAAGATACGAACGGCATGCCAACTTTATGGATTGGCACGTCTCTGGGATCTGTACAGACTGTTGTATTCAATACACCTGCCCATGGCGAACGTCATGCTCATCCAGTGGTTGTGTCTACTTGTAGTAAGCAAACCTTATTTATGATTATTTTCTCAGCGTTTAATAAAATATATAATTTTAAAAAGCACAGTACGATCTTTTTGTTTAAAACCGCTCAAGAACAAGTAACATGAATTTTAATATGGATTTAATTGTGCGCAGATGGATCTACTTTCAAACTCAAGGGTTGTATCCTATCCATGTCATTCTTAGATTGCAACGGCGCTCTGATTCCATATTCATTCGAGTCTTGGAAAGACGAAAACACGGATGGCAAAGAACGCAACAGTAGGTTTCATTTCCTTTAATAATCATATATGTATATCCGTGAGAGAACAAAAATTAATGTCATAATGTAGCTCGTATTTTCTATGACTTTTATGTTTATTTTAAAAGAATCCTATGTGCAATATATAATTGTTGTATAATAATATATTAATATGACATATATTACATATAGGACTATATATTATATGTAATATATGTCATTAACAAAATGGATTTCTATTAAAGAGAGTCAAGTTAAATGTACAAATAGCCGAATGTCACCGTCGGCGAACACGCAAGTCAGCGGGGATAATTTTGAAGACAGACAATTTGTTGTGCTTGCATCGGAAAAGCAAGCGAGAGTTGTAGCGTTACCCTCCCAAAACTGTGTATATAGACAACAGCTGGCGGATACTCATATCGTAATTAAAGCAGAGGTTACATCACTGAAAGGTATATATATTTTTACGTAATCTATATTTTTTACATAACGCGAATATAGGGATATAACTGTTATTTAGATTTATTATTATGTTTGCTACATGTAATTATCTCAAGATATGTAATCCATTCGCGGAGAGCTTCATTTTTTAAACATTTCTGTCTAGAAAATGTCTGTCTGGTATGTTATGTTTCCAATGGTCACATCACGACGTACAGTCTGCCTAGTCTTAGACCGCTGATAGACGTTGATTTTCTACCTCTTATAGACTTGAGGTAAGAACAGTAACCCTTCTCTCTTTCTGACCTTTTTATTTTAGCTCTGTTAAGGCAATATAGTGACAATATTTGCACATGATGCGTTGCACTATACGCTATTGTAATATTGCAAAAGTTTCTACATTTTTTATTCTTATAATGTACTATATTAAATAGTACATATATACATTAAAAAGTATTAAGAATATTTCATGTACCACACAATCCAGAATTAGGAATGGTATACGTATATTAAAATATAACATACGTTCGTCGCATATCTATTTAATTATAAATTAACGGTGCTATACCAATAATATTAACATTTGTAATAATTTCCTGTATTTTTTCAAATGCACCAATATTTGAAGCAATACAATTAATTCTTTTTTTTTCAAAGAGTATACTAATTAAATTTGCATATAAATTATTTTTATTATAATTTTACATTAAAAATATCATATTATCGCAAAAGAACATGTCAAAAAAAAAACTAAGTTGATAAAAAAATTAGAAGAAATCTTTTTTTTGTATATCTTCCCCAGCTGTCAATAAATTTTTAAAATTAAATAAAATTTTATTCACAGTTCTAATATTTTACAGAGAAATTATATAATTGATAGGTTGAAAAATGGATATTTGGTATTAAATTGCGATATTTTTAAACATGCTATATATACGTAATAATTTCTTATTAGAAAACACAAAGTAGGAGATAGCTTTTAAAAGGTAAAAAAAAAGAAGAATTCAGAGATTTTTTATTAAAGACGATGGCCATAAATTATGTATTATTTACAGGCAAAGTCTTATTTGCTGCATAAGCAACTTTTAAATCTATATTTTTGAAGCATCTATAGCAAAGTTTCTCTGCTCTATTTATATAGCTGATCATTTATTTTTTAGATATTTTAATATTTCGACGCATGAAATTGGTACATAATAAAAATCTTGCTTATTCTCTTATCGTCGCTTAAATTTTATATTTATTCGCAGTAGAATAAACAACGCAAATTTGAAACTCATCGAGTAGATTTAGGTAAAGTACCGAAATCAGATATACCGTGCGACTGATATACGTAAAGATATAATTATCAGATACTTATTCTCTTACTTCAAGAATATTTTACAATTTCTTATATTCATTTTCTATAAAATTCTATATTAATTATGTGTGTTGCTACAATTTTTTCTAGAAGTGTGCAATCATTAAATATATATCAAGTTTTAACCATTTACAATTATTGTCATTGTATTTTAATGTAATTTATAAAACAATTTTAAAAACATAAGTTTAATTGTATAAGACCGAATATTATCAGAAATAAATAATGTGGCACACTTTTGGAGAATATCTTTATATATATTAAGAATAAACTGCGCGAATGTCTAGGAAAGAGCTATATAAGTTTGTAAAAATTTACGTATTTACGTACTTTTTTACCGATGTGTGTGTTAATAACTTATATTTATAAAATATCGTCTAGAATAAATACAAAGAGTAGCAATAATTTTCACATACTTATATAATAAATATTACTTTTACACATATATGATTATCTATTAATGAAATGAATTGATAGCAATTAACAGTACCGTTAGCATGTGACTTTTCTCTGCAATAAATGCACTCGTTAACCCTTAATACAATTTGAGCATGCTTCATTTGTAGTATTTTCTACGAGCACTTCTACTGCACTTCTTTATCTTGAAGCATATATGCTACATTTGCAGAGAATGATGCAGTGTTGTGAAACGAATGAAAATGCGAATTTGCTAAGTAGTGTTTACGCTACATTAACATGAAAATATTTTCCGTTTCAATTTAATTACATTTTTTTTGTATGTAATGTAATGTTTCACAACCACGCGATATAAAATTGGCTTTTTTTATGGCAATTTTTCATCTATGCAAGTTCTAATCTTTTCACTTGAAAATATCTTTACTTTATCATATATATTTACGATTTCTATTTAGCAAAATCTGGCACTACACTACGGACTTTCAGGCAACATTTATCATTTTCTCGTCTTTTTCACTTACAAATTTTTCTATACATATACAAAAAACAAAATATATCGTGCGTATAGTCCTTTTAAAAACTAATTGGGTTAGCTGTGTTTTAAGGGTTAATGCTAATTATAATAACGTAAAAAAATAACGTAATAAATTGTATATTAATCCGTGTATGGTCGAGCGCTCACTTTCCTCCTGTCTCTGTAATCTCTAACAGTTTTCAGACTACAAAACATGGCATTGTAGACCCCATGTTGAGCATATGGGGTCATCAACTCTTTGTTAATGGCGATACCGATCAGTAAGTCATCTATAAAGTACAGCTCACCATATGTAAAATCTTTACACAACACACAATGTGCCTTGCGTGCAATATATCATCTTTTTTCGATTTCATAATTTTGCCATCAGCTTCATACTAGTTTCACATAGGAAAGTGTTTCTCACGCGATTCAAACCCTCTTTAACTACCTACAAACTGGTTTTTATTACCTACCAGAGCTTTATGCTATATGTATATAAAACCGCACACTCGACACTCTTTTACAGTTGTACCCTGATATTGCCATTTTTCGTATAATCTATATTAGTTATGAAATAACGCATTGCAGTAAAGCTGGCTTGCGCATTTTTTTACAGGATCGCAAAGACGCTTTGCTTCAGCAATCGAGGCCATGGTTTATATCTTTCTTCACCTATGGAAATTCAGAAGTTTTCCGTTTCGAGTGAATTCTGGTATTGTTTTACACATTTGTTTTACTCTTACTTTAATAAAAAATAACTATTACTTTTAGTCTCATATATAAGACTAATATTAATATACTGAACATTGAGTTTTTGATTTAATAATTAATAATTAAATTTAATATAATTTAATTTATCAATTAATAAGACGTATTCTTTATTTTTTAGCGCTGAATTGACGGAGATGATGGGTGATTTATTTATCGGTCATGATATGCCAGAACCGCCTAAAGAAGGTTTCTTTAAAGGTTTATTCGGTGGAGGTTCGAGAAGTCTTGACCGAGAGGAGCTGTGTAAGTGGATATTTAAAAAAAAAAATTTTTAAATAAAAAATTTAATAAAATCCGGAATTAATGTCTATACCGATATCGATTGCAGTCGGGGAATCTAGCGGTCGTGCATCGCGCACAGTAGCGAAACACATTCCAGGACCAAACGACGCTATTCGAGAGCGAGTAACTAGCGCAACGGGAGAAGTAAATATAGCACATCAAATGGTTGTGGAGCGCGGCGAGAAGCTATCGCAGCTCGAGGAACGATCTGCGCGCATGATGTCGGAGGCTGAGAACTTTTCGCAAGGCGCTCATGGATTGATGCTCAAGTATAAAGATAAGAAATGGTACCAGCTATGAGGACGTAATTTGGCCCGAGCCCGGTGAAATGACACATGTTTCTTTAATTATTATTTAGCGTTCATGTTTCTCGTCTATGAGTTTTGTCGTATTAAGAAACTAAAAGTTAGACGCGTATTACGGTCCTCACACACGCACACACGAGAAACATCTACACGAATGAGAGAGGGATAAGGATATATTATATGTACATCTCATTTGCGATCACCTGTGCGACGCACACGGAACACGCGCACATTCTGTAACGAGAAAAAGATAAGCGCGAAAAAATATATTTCAAAGCGAATAATTATAGCGATTATTTCCCAAATGTGTAATTATAGATCTTTGCGTACGGATGAATAAAAAAGGGACGTCGGTAAAATGGAGGTTTTGTCATGATGAATTTGCGCGGATGTACGGCGCGCGCGTACGCGTATAATTATACTTATATAGAATATAAAGTACTTACGTGCAAAGAGATGATTGAAAGCATATACGAGTCAATATAAGCAATTATGTAATAATTCGCCTTTTAACCGGTGGCACTCGTTAATTCATTCGGACGTCCTGTGAACGTTGTTTAATGGCGCCTTGCCTTGTTTGCTTCTCAGCAAAGAATTGCCAATAAGTATTTATGAAGGCCACATTGTTGCAAAGTTTAAGCACTTTTGAATATATAGAATCGAATGAATGCTAAGAATCGCATTAGAGTTTTAAATCGTCTAAAAATAGTATATACATGCATACAAATATTATACATGAGTTCTTAGATTAATATTATATATGAGTGTTATATATGAGAGAGAGGGATATATATATATATATATATATAATGGGAATGAGATATATACACACACGGCTACTCATATACTATATTAACAATGCAACTAAAATTTGCAGTGTAGTAAACATATTATAGAAAAGAATTGTTATTGACTAATAATTCTTATTCCGTGATGTAAATTTTATAATCGTGTACATTATAAGCTGACTTGTATCTAAGTATTTATTGGTACGCGATCGTAGATCATTTCGTAAATATACGTTAAGGAATAAAATAAATGTGACCAATGCGATTCTTATAAGTTCATCAAGTGTAAAAGAGAGATTTGTTAGGCTTGATCTAGAAACGATTTTATGCATACTTTTAAGAAAGTTACGAACGCAGGCAAGACGGCACAGTGACACCATTCCGAATGTATTGACAATAAATTTAGTTAATCTCTCGATGAGAAAAAAGTATTGGATAAAAGTTGAATGCAATGAAATATATTTTATCCAGAATGGCGGGTTCTGCAGGTTGCAATAACTGCTGCACTCGCCATGCTGATAAGAATGTATTAGTTGTTATCGATTGTAGTATCGCTAGACGTGCTATGTATATATAAAGAGAGATAGATACCGTAGAACAGATTCCGCGTTATAAAGTTGTTTATATAACAATGTATTATGAGTTACGCTATTTCAATGCCGATGATAAATTCAACTGAATTTACATTACATTAAAATGAAATCTACTACTGTAATTTTAACACTATATATATAGTTTAGATTAATTAAAGACAATATAACATATACATATATATATATTTTATCGTATGTATATGTATTTTATATGTACATAGGCTCTGAATCGTCGTACTGCTTCCATAGCAATAATTGTATAGTCGATGTTAATGGTACTAATCACTCGTATACTTAATATGCCCACAGAAGATTAATTAGAATGCATTTTCTGAATTGATTCGAGCTCATGATATAATTTCCCTTGGACAATATAATACACGTATAGAAATCCGTTGTCCCATTACACTCTTTATCACGGGATGTCTTCACTATCGATTACTAGTACAAAAGAGCGCGAGCTCGTTCGTCGAGATGTACGAACTGTAGTTGAAATCCATATTGATGCTGAATTTGTAACACGTTTGTGAGAGTGCGCAGATTATACATGATTCTGAATGACGACCCTGTTTTAGCTAAACTGCTAACTCTGACAAACGTTTCACTATCCTATGTCTAGATTATTATTCCTCGGATATCCGACACTCAGTATGTAAGCAGTTCAATGGTAGATAAGATACATTCAAAATAAAATATAAAGTATCCTAAGAAGCGGAGATTTGTTAATGCCCGAATTACGAATGTCGGTACACAAATTAGAGGAGAAACATGTTCTTTCAATGAAAATAAATCGTCTACTGCTATAATAATAGAGTAGGTAGTTTAATGTGAGTTATATATATAGTTACAGAGAAAAGATAGAAATTATATTATTATTTAAATGTTGCAGTAATATATTCGAAAGATTTGTTGCACAAAAAGATTATATATTTATTGATACAATTTCTCATTATTTATCAAAGAATTTAGTCATATTTCAAAACAGTTTCTGATGATAGTATATCATCTACTTTATATAGACCATAGTATATAAAGAAAAGAAATCTCGAGAATGATATGGCTGGATCGAAAATGTTCGACTGTAATTAATCGATTTGCTTACCGCTTATATCTTTTTTTATATGCTATATGATCTTGAAACCCAGAAAATACTATCTATATAAAATAAATTTTTAACTCTTTCTAGCCCATATTTATTCCTATTATATCAAGTTTCCTACTGCGATAAAAGAAAATTTGTGTTTTATTGTTTCTTATTATATCTGATTAAATAATATATCGTATAAGTAATAGTGTACAACAAAATTATAGAATTATAGAATGTACAGCTATATCTAAATTATCAGGTAAATATATAGCTCACCTACACATACATATATACATATATATATACACACAAATGATATTAATTAATTTCAAACAAAATCTATGATGCTAAAGATTATTGTTGGGCTGGACAGAGATAATCGAAATGTGCATACATTTTAAAGTCCCTTTAGATGTTCACAAATAGAAATGTAACAGATGTCTCTTTTACTACATATTTAATTAGTTTTTGTACACTAATGTATAATTTTGTTAGTCACTAATTAGATGAAAATGACAAGGCACGTATAAAAACGACAGAGATTCTTTTCATACAGCTATTCTTCAAAGCCGATACTTTTTGTCAACAAATAAAACATATTCCTTTGAAGAGTTATAGTATTACCTATATTCTTTAAAAAGGCTTCGATATAAATACCTATGATTTTCGATTCATGTAAGTATTATGATGCGCTATTAAATTCAATATTATAAACGAAAGAAGTATATATTTTTAAGTGCGACGAAATACCTAATACTCTTGATTTATACTACTATTAACGATCTAGTTGAATTTTTATTTGTCAACAAATACGATATTAGATATCATCTTATAATTGTAAGAGTACTGCCTCGGCTACAGACTGTATCTTGGCTCCAATTTAATAAATGAGTTTTACTCGAAGTCGAAAAACAAAGTATCTTTTTTTATACTGTTTTAAACTAAACAGAATATAATTTTGTGTAATTGTTTTTTATTTTAAGGACATAATAGTTGTCAGACTTATTCTCTTCAAATAAAGATTGCTTCTTTTGCCTCATACTTCTACCATTATGTACACACCCTATTTTTGTTGCAATGAATTTTAACTTTTTAATATATATGTAGAATGCCAATTTCTTTATCATTTAGCAAGTCTAATTTTGTAGACTTACTTAACTTTGTAAATTAAGTTAAACGATCTTCGCAAATTAGATTTCAACATAATAAACAATTTTTCGATCAATATCTCGTGTATCTTTTCTTAATAAAATTTTGTCTCTATCTTAATCATCGAGATAATTAGCATAGGAAATGAACAGATTATAGCAAATAAGAAGGCTTTTTCAATGGTAAATTTTCGCTAAAGAAAAATAGCGCGTAGGTCGAAGCTCTCGAAAAACCTCGCCCTTTTTACTCGCTCTTTAACCGGAAGGAACGGTGACTGCTATCGACACCCCGGCTCGTAATTAAATTAATTTCTGCATCTCTTCCTTCGCCGGTATATAGGCATCGGCGTGGAATAATGCAATGGCGCAACCCGTTGCGACGTGGCGCGACGCGACGAAGGTGCTCGACCGCGCTTTCTTTCTCTCTCTCTCCCTCCATCTCTCACCCTCGCGCACACTTCTCATTTCCAATTTAAAAATAATGAGAATTTACTGCGAATAGGTGTGGCTGTCGCGCACAGATACCCATTGACTATACCAGCGTCTCGGCCGCGCGCGAAGTGGAATGAATTGAAAAAAATTCAATTTAGCTTCGGGTATACCGCGTATAGCCGCCGACCAGCCGCGATGCGACGCGATCCGACATGACGCGACGTGCGCCTTCTTTTCTCGCCATAAAGGGAACAATAGAGATTGAAATTTATTTATTTTTCTCCATTTATCCACCGCATTCCTAAAAAAAAAAAAAAAAAAAAAAAAAAGGATTCCGGTAATCGTCGTACTTTCACACCGCAAAATGCTAGTTGATGCGAAGCAAGTACGAAGGGACGTTCCAGTTTGTGGAAAGAATACGGAAAATTTAACTGTTGAACAATCGCTTCCCCTCCGGTTCATTATATTAATCGACGTCTTGAAGATCGAGAGCCGTTCTCGCGCGATTCGAATAACAATACGTGTCGGCGAGGACGCGTCTATGTTGTCGGCAACGTAGTAGTAAATGGGAAACGAATAAAGATCCGGGAAAGAGCGAAAAGGGCCCGGCAGTCTGTCTCGGGCGCGCGCAATAAAATGTAAATTCGCGGCAATTCGCGCTTCGTCCCCCCGCCTCCGATATCGGAACCCGGACGCCTCTCTCTCTCTTTCTCTCTCCGCTCGTCTTCCAGAGATCTCCGTGTAACGGTAAGTAAGTGGCGAGTGCTGCGTTCGGAGCCCGCGGGCTCCGTCGTCATTTGCATGAGTAACGGTGGAGAGCGCCCGGAACGGCGTGGCGCGGAGACTAAGGGTGTAGCGAGACGAGTAATTTATAGTCAATAATTCTTGGCGAGGCAATTTTCGCATCGAGCGCGAACGTTTCCTTGGAACGACGACGACGACGACGACGACGGCGGCGGCGATGGGGTCGGGTAAGCGAAATGGCGGGAAATGAGGCGGAATGTTAAATAGCCCGTCGTCTTTCACAGGTAGCCCTACAACTGCACGCTGGGAATCATTCGCTGAAAAAAAAAAAAAGAAGAAAGAAAAAATGATTCTACATTTCATAACGAATTTTCACGTCCGCACATATGTGATCCTGACAATTCTTCTATCCGATATAAAATTTTTATTTATAGTTTTCATTTGGAATTCATGCTATTTTGGGCGTTTTAATAAAAAAGGCCTTTTATTAATTCTATTAATTTTTTTTTTTTT